GCCGCCTTCTTTCAGCAGGAAAATTGAATTGCCCACATTCACCACGAATACAATACTGGATAGCATCACATGCTCGAGCTGCTTTCTCGGGGGCATCATAAGACCCCAGCCATATCCTTTGTCCAGTCTTCGGAACCCTTATTTCAGAAACCCATTTGCCCCATGTCCTCATTCTGACACCCCTGTAAATTCCTGAATTTCTCCCTCGAGGAAATTTCTTAGGAGGAGCAGAGGACTGACAGGGATCCATGAGGAGGAGGTGTTCAACAATTGAATGTTTAAGGGTAAATGCAGGTAACTGCAAATCATGCAACTTAGATGTGAACAAGATAAGTGATGCAGCTCAAGCCTAGGGGAGCAGGTGGGGCTAACATGATAATGGCACGCGATGTTACAAAATGCATGTGGCAGTGGAGATACTGTCACGTTGTCAGCTTGCCATAGACTTGGAGTTTCCATTTGCAAAGAACAGCAATTGGCAAGACACAAATGTAATGCATTTGTCACGTGGACATTCTTAAATAAACAACCTGAACCTTCCCATTAAGGAAAAAAAACAGACAACTTTCTATGAGTAAAGATTATCATTCATTAGACAGAATATCAAGCTCACCAATATGGAATTTCTGTTAATTAAAGAAGATATGATTTACCAAAAAAACCAAGATGAAACAAAATACAAAACAGGACATAAATGCCTCCTCTTGTTATGTTTCAGTAACCATAAGGGTTCATCTGTCTATAACGCATCCAGAATTCAAAATTCAAACACAGACAGAAAACTTAATTTCAGCTATCAGCCTTCATTCTAAGCAATTGTTGGAGTTTCTTATCCCAATCCAAGACTTCTCAGTCTTTCAGATGCCTTGAGTAAACTGTCACAATGTCTATATCAAACTATCACCTGTCATAGAGAAAAGGCAACATCAAGCTTACACCTGGTGAACCAGGATAACTCCATTTTGGTTAATATTAATTTTCCTTTATGTGCTCCCACAGTTCCAGCACTATGCTAACATAAAACTGTTCAAAATTATATTCCGGTACTTACAAGTCTCGAAACATGTTTACATGGCACAGTGTAACTCTGAGTTCCAACAATCACTACCCAGGAAGTTATTTAAGAGAGTATTAAAGACTAGAGTAGAAGTTACATGTCTTCTCCATACTAAACTAGCATCTAGCAAAACACAACACTACCAAAGACACGTTGTCATTCTCTTCTGTACCCTTATCATGTTTCTGAAGTCTGAAACCACTTTATTTTTCTTGAGAGGAGGGGGGGGACACCCCAATCTGCTCTCGCTTGCCACTACTAACCAGCCATACTAGTCAATAAGAGTCAGACTGACAGCATCTCAATCGCAACACAAAGTTGTTAGCTCACTAATCATTCCTTCACAATTTTTGTTTTCAAAAGCCATCCCATAATCTATGAGAATTTGAATAAAAACAGCATTGATCAGAGAAGTATATCCACCACGATTAGAATCACAATAATGCTAGCAGAACAAAATGTTAAGCCCCAGTCAGCAACCTATGATCGAAGTCTTAAACATGCAGGAATTCTCACAATACGATGAAGATCCAACTTAATTCAAGAACATGAAACTTTTGACCTTGTAGGTTAAGTACAAAGTTAAATGTACATAACATGACATATACGATACTCCTCGCTCAGTCCACTTCACCTTTTGTTTGTACAGAAACACAATACAGAATGAAGATTGAATTGTTCACACAAACCTTTCCTTAGGAGGTCGAAGAAGTTGGTGCTTCCGCCCCTTTAGTTTTCGAAGCAGCATTATCTGCTGCTGATGGTGGCACATATATCCTTGCTTTCTTGAGAATTTCAGCAACAACCCAATTTTTCCGTTTGCTTAACGGCCTCGAAGGATCCAATCTAACCTGAAAGCCCACCCAATTCCACAGATTCGAAAACTTTAAAAAATTTCTCTGTTTTTTTTTTCATGTCGTTGAATTTATTTTCTTTACTTGTTTGAGTAATCAATCAGTTACTCATCATCATAATAATAATAAGAAGATGAAGAAGGAAAAAAGAAGAGCAAGAAGGAGAGGTAGAGGGTACTGACTCGATCGCCGATATTGCAGAGGTTGTTTTCGTCGTGAGCCATGAACTTGGAGGTCCGCTTGACGTATCGATTGTAGAGTTTGTGGTGGAACAGCCTGTCCACCGCCACCACCACTGACTTCTGCATCTTGTTCGACACCACCATCCCCACCACAGACTTCATCCTCTCCCTCTCTCTCCAAGCAAATCCTTAAACCCTATTTTCTCTTTTTACTTCTGAACTTCAGACACCAACGACGTACCGTTTCCTAAATGAAACCTTCGCCCTTACCTGTCCCTTTGTTTTTTTTAAGAAAACTTAATTTATTCTTACATGATCGCACTACAGTTAAATTAATTAATTTTTTAATATAATGAAAGAAGTTCAAGCCCTCTTGAGAGCATAGTTATTAATGGTATAGTTACATCATCTTAATTTTTTTCAGGTATTTTTTATATTAAAATATATCACAATAATATTAAAATATATCACAATAATATTTTTTTTATTTTTAAAAAAATTAATTTTAAGATTAACACATTAAATGATCTAAAATATATAAAAAAATTTAAATATTTTAGAAATACAGTACAAATGTTCTCTAAATCTGACTTGATGAATCATTTTTAAAACTTATTAATATGATTTTTTTTCTAAGTTATATTTAAAATTAAATTATATAAAAATTATATTAATATGATTTAGTCAATTTATTTGATTTAAAAATAATTTGATCGATCAGTAAAATATTATGAGGATAAGATTGATAAAAAAAAATCTTTCAGACTCAATTTATTGTTTAGCTCGAGTTTAAAATTAAATCATGTAAAAATTATCTTAGCAAAATTCAATTGACTTGATCGTCAAAAAGCAACTCGATTGACCCATAAAAAAAATTTGAGAATGAAATTGAGAAAAGAAAACGAAATTTATAGGAAAAAAACTTACCAACTCATCTTCTTATCTATTCCATGTTTAAAATTAAACTTTGTACAAGTTGGCTTGTGAGTCTCAATTAATTTGATCAGTCCAAAAATAATTAAGATAACTAGAAATAAGGAAAAAATTGGAAGAAAAAAATAAATGAAAAGAAAAAAAAAACACCTTCTTTGTGTTCCAATTAATAGAACTCTATAGGGCATGGTCATTTAAGTGTAACAGTAAACATAAATTACTGTAAATTACTATAATATAATTACTATTTTTATTTTAGTGTAAAGAATATAGATTTTTTGTTGTGGGGTAATTTAATCTTTTCTAATGGTTCATTGACCATTAAAAGATTATTCAGAGATATATAATTTTTTTTTGAATTTTTACACAATAAAATTACATTTTTATTTTTAAAGTCAACAAAACATAGAACTATTAATCAAAGGTTTTTTCATCTTTTCACAATCTTTGAAATGTTAAAAATATTTCTTTATCCTCAAGGTCAAAAAAAATTAGAGTTGTTGCACAAGAGGTTTTTTGTTCTTAGGCTATAGTTAAAATATATATTTGCCATTAAAATAGATATAAAAAAAGTTATCCATTTAAGGGTGTTTTTGTCATTTTATATAGGTTTATTTGTAATTTTCCTGGTTATAAGAGGTGTTTTAGTCATTTTATGTTGAGTTTTAAATTTTTTCTTCTAAAAAGTTGTTGCATATACTCATTATGCACCAACATGTTAGTGACATTCATAATCTTTAGACGATGCATGTGACGCCACCCGATAAATAAACCTAGTTTTTCATCATGTTCTTGGAAGCGCCACTAGATCCTATTCTTTATGGTGTGATGCTTGATAGAGGATGAGGGGTGATTTGTCACCTGTAAATGTTTTTCTTTCTTGCTTACTTTCTCTCTTTTCCATGAAAAATGCATGTTTGTCCTCTTTTCCTTTCATTTTTGAATTTTAGTCCTTATGTTTTTATTGATTATTTTCATCCTTGGCCTTTTTAGAAAAAAAAAATTATATATTTTTCAATTTAGCCCTTAAATTATAATTTATCATATATTATTTTTTTCAATCCACTCCTTATTCTTTTGATTTTTGATTTTTTTCTTTAGCTTTTTTGTTAAAGTTTTATTGGTTTTCAAGCTCGTCATTCAATCAAAGTTTATTTTTTTTATTTTTCCAACTTAGCCCTTGTTATTTTTATTTCATTTTTTCTTTTTTCAATTTTGTTTTTCAAATTAACCCTCCAATTTAATTCTTTTATGCCCTTTAATTTATTTTTTATTTTAATTTCCACCTTAATTCTTTTAATTACAATTTTTTATGTGATTTTTTTTTTCAATTTCATCTTTCGCTGTCTAATTAGTTCGGGATAAAGCTTCATAATTTTTCCATTTGTATGACATGGGTTGTGATTTAGGATGGTTGACTCGGGTCTTTTATCCTTTTTAGTTGAATTTTTTTTAAAAAAATTATCTTTCAATGTTAAGTTGATTGAGAATTAGGTTTATAATTTGTTTTGATTTGTTTTCTAAAAGGTTATCTTGATCTCATAATCTAGATCACGAGTTTAATCAATTGACTCAAGTGGATTTCTCTATTTTCTTAATTTTTTTTAGTTTTATTTTTTAATGTTGGATTGATTAATAATTGAGTTTCATAATTTTTTATATTTGCTTTTAATAGGATTATCCTAGTCTCATTATTCAAGTTTAACAAGTTAACTCAAGTTTAATAAACTTATTTTTTTTAATTGATTTTTTTTTAATTTCATCTTTCAATATTGAGTTAATTGAGAATTAGATTTAATAATTTTTTTTGATTTGCTTTTTGCAGGGTTATCAAAATCTTATGACCCAAGTAATAGATTTAACAGGTTAACTTGAGTTGATTTGCATCGATCCAATATGTTATCATTTTAATATTTTAAAAATTATCATCTTGATTTTTTTCTGCTAAAAAACACATTAACAACACCTGAATATTTTTTATATACTAAAAATTTCTAATCGGACTGCAACGTAATGCAGACAATAGTTTAGAATGTCCTGAACAATAACTTAGTGCTAAAATATAAAAAGATTTTCTTTTATATAAACTATTAAAACGAAAGCAAAAAATAAAAATAATTTACTATGATTTAATGCTAAAATGGTGATTTAAGAAGAAAAATGATTTCTCATTATCTGGATCGCAAGTTTTGTGGTTAATCATGTTGGCTCGAGTCATTTATATGTTCTTTTCTAGTTAATATTTTTTTCCCAACCTTACCATTCAAAATTAGATTGATTGAGAATTGAGATTCATAATTATTTTTCGATCTAATTTTTATGGGATTATCAAGGTCTCATGACTTAGGTCATAAGTTTACTATTTGTCAGGTTAACTTGAGTTTTTTTAAAATTAATTTTATCTTTCAATAGTGGTTTGATTGAGAATTGGATTTTATAATTTTTTTTATAATTTTTTTCTATAAAATTATCTTGGTTTTTTAATTTGAGTTTAGTAGGTAAACCTTAATTGACTCATGTCATTTTTTTTTCTATTTGTTTTTCAATTTAATTCTTTAACATTGAGTTGATTGAGAGTTGGACTTCATAATTTTTTTATTTGCTTTATACGAGGATTATTATGATTTTATGACCAGGATCGTGAGTTAGGATGATTGACTCGGATTTTTTATTCTTTTTTAACTTTTTTTTTAATTTCATTATTTAATATTAAGTTGATTAAGAATTAGGTTTCATAGTTTCATAGTTTGTTATGATTTATGTTTTATAAGATCATCCTGGTCTCATGACCTAGGACATGAGTTTGGTCAGTTGACTTGGGTGAGTTTTTATGTGCTTTTTTTAATTATTTTTTTATTTTAACATTTAATATTGGATTGATTGAGAATTGAGTTTCATAATTTGTTTTAATTTACTTTGTATGAAACTATCTCGGTTTCATAACCCAAGTTTGATAAATTAACCCGAGTTGACTTAACTCATTTTCTTAATTGAATTTTATTTTTAATTTTATCTTTTAATATTGGTTGATTGAAAATTAAGTTTAATTTTTTTATTTGTTTTTTACAGGATTATCAAGGTCATGACATAGATAATGTATTTGATAACTTAACTCAAATCAATTAAAGCTGATTCAATATATTATCATTTTAATATTTAAAAAATTATCATCTTGATTTTTTCTGCTAAAAAATACATTAAAAATATCTAGATATTTTTTTACGTACAAATAATCTGATCTGACCAACAATGTAGTGTAGTAATGGTCTAAAATGTCCTAAACAATAACTTAGTGTTAAAATATATATATATATATATATATATATATATAAATTTCTTTTGTATAAACTATTAAAATGAAAAAAAAGAATTACTATGATTTGATGCTAAAATGTTGATTTGAGGGGGAAAATTGATTTCTTGGATGGAAATAGTTAATTAGCACATGCAAATAAGGTGATTTAATGTTGTTTTACTTTTTGGATAAAATGATAGAATCAAAAGATTAAAGACTCAGCCTCCTAATTCCTTGGAGGCTAAATTGAGTTTTTTCCTCATATATTTCACAAGAAGAGTAATATCGTAATTTAATATAAAGAATTTCTTTATCTTATCCAAAAAAATAAAAAACATTTATTTTATTTTTAATTATCCAGTAGTGAGAGGGAGAACCCAAAGACCGCTATCTTCTTTCCTTTTGCTCTTCCCTCTTTAGCTGTTTAGCTTAGCTTCATCACAATTACGAAAAACGCTTTCTTTTGTTGTAAAGTTCTTCTTGATTCTTCTTTTTCGTTGTTTTTTAGCTCTTCAGCTCAGGATATGAGTTTCTGAATTTTGTTTTTTTAAAAGCCAATTTAGTAGTCAAGATATTGAATTTTTTAAGAGAATGCCTATGTTTTTCGTTTGATAAGAAGAGGTTTGATTGTTTCATGATTACAGCGATTTGGAGCAGTGGTTTCTTGTCTTTGGTTTGAAAAGGCTAAAAAATGTTGCTTTCTTGATGACCACTTCAATTGTGTTATGCAACAACCTAAGCTTTAACACTAACCATTACCAAACCCCACTTAGGAACAGGAATTTATTTGCCAAATCATCCAGTTTCTCACTCCAATTGAGTAATAGGCGGAGATTTTGTGGGGTTTTTCCAAAAGCAAAGAAGAATGGGAAAAATCATTCTAAAAAAAAGAGAAGTTGGTGGCGGAGGTTCTTTTTTGATGAAGATGGAAACTGGTTTGGATTAAAGGATGAAGATTTGCTTGATGCTGAGGCTGATTTTTCTGAGAATTCAATTGATGAGGAGTTGTCCGAGGAAGAGAAGTTTGAGGCTTGGAAGAGGAGAGCTGAGGCAATTGTGGAGCTGAGAGAAGCACAAGAAGATATGTTGAATGAGGATAGTAGGAGGTGGGAGGATTGGATTGTGGATTACGGTGATAATGGTCGTGATGATGCTAGTAATGGTTCTTGGTGGAGTCAAGAGTTTGATGGAAATGGTGGAATTGGAAATGGGGACTCAGTAGAGGATGCGCGGTCGGATCCTACTGACCTTGTACCTGAAAAAGGATTTGTTGAGTCTGTTAGAGATTTGGTTCTTGGCAGGGAAGAGGAGGATTTGCTTTATGAAGACCGTGTGTTCCGGTATGCCTCATTGAATTCGGTAAGTGAATTTCATTTCAATGCACTTTGTTTCAGACTGAAGTAATCCCTGCCTTATGCCATTCTTTCCTATGTTGATCTGGTTGTTTATGGGGTATCCATTGAATTCATAACTTGGTCATATGTCTCTGTGCCAATTGAGATTGTGCTCTATTCTATGTGCCTATCGAAAAATGTGGCGCTAATTTTATGAAATCGGTGATCTTTAGTTAATCAATCAAGCTATCTTCCAACCACTTAGCTTTAGCTTTGCAGCACGTAAACTGTAGTGATGCAAAATAATGGACATCCACGTGAAGAGGGATGTGCAATCCTATTTCCATTTTGCACATCAATATATAAGAGGATAAAAGTATCTATACTTTTGGGGTTAAGTTAGATGTAAAGAAGAATTAGACAGAGTATCACTGACTTTTGATGGATTTTAAATAGTATATGATCAAAGTGTTTGGTTATTGAAACAGTTCACAATGGACATTTTACATTTCTGTAAGCTTTGATCTTTGTTGAACTCGATTACTTCATGCTGAGTTACATAAGATATTGTAAATATATGTTTTGTTTATGCTCCCATTATTTTAAAAATCTGCTTATTCAAGCTGGCATGCTTGTACTCAATACACAGCTTGACACCATATCCATATCCATATTCATCTCGTTGCAGGCTAAGTTTTTGGCAGTATTGATAATCATACCCTGGGCCTTGGACTTTGCAGTTCATGATTATGTTCTCATGCCCTTCTTAGACAGGTAATAATTAGGACAAAATGGTTGCTTAAGCGATTTCTCCTAATCTTAATAAGAAGAAATACTTGATATTTACAAGTTGCTTTCTTCTCTACCTGAAAAGTTTTAAAGTACTAGTGCTTATGCTGCACTTAAAGCTGACTTTCTGATTAAGTAACTCAGTCTATGTCACGAACAGATATGTCAAGACTGTACCACTTGCAGCGCAGATGCTTGATGTGAGAAAAAGTCAAAAACTTGAGATGATCAAGGAACTAAAAGTCGAGAAAGCAAGATTGCTGCTTGAGGTAGAGATTGGTAAATCTCCACCTCTTTCTGATGAGGAGGAATGGTGGGAACTACGGCATAAAGCGTAGGGATAACATTTTTTTTGCTTGCTTTGCTAGCTCATGTTTACTACCTATTTGATTCCTCTGTGAATTTTCTCAGAACGCTTCTCATGAGTAGAAGTTTCATTTAGATGGTGTTCTTTAACATTAAATATTAGGGTTATTTTCTTCATAACATTAAACAACTTTGAACAGACCCCCTCACTCCCTGGGAAAAAAAAAGTGTCCATCAAATTGTAGTCAATTTCTGATTGAAAACTACAATATGGCATGTTATACTGGATTTGTTTCCCTATAAATGCAATACTAAGGAAAGTTTTCCATACTCTTTGCTGATGAAAGTAAATATAGTGAATTCTATGCTTTTCAACTTCTGGTTTGTTGCTCAAACAGGTTAGAGCTGCGGGATGATTGGAGGTTAGAAAACCGTAGATCATTTGCCAACATATGGTCAGACATGGTATTTGGGATCTCAATCTTCATTCTTTTGTACTTCAATCAGAGTAAAGTGAGTCATCAGTCGTTCTCTTTGCACAATGCCTTTTATGTATAGAATTGATATATTTTGCATCATTGTAAAAACCTTGATCATTGTCATTGTAATAGCCATCATCTATCAAGCAAAAACTGTGGTATTGTATAAGCAACAATAAGTAGCATGCAGCTTATTTATGGTAAAAGTTGCGGATTTTCATGTTTATATCAATTTTCACCTAGTCTATATTCATTGCTGCGAGAAATTGTTTAGCTTTTTTCAAGAAAACATGGAACCACTCTTGCTTTGCTTGTCTACGAGCATTATTCACTTTTGAAGTTCTTTGCTCTTCTACATTGTTATAGAACATCCCAGGAGTTGTTGCAGAAATACCTGGTGAATAGTTTTCACCTTTTTGCATTTGTTCTGGTTAAATTGCATTTGGAAATGATTCATTCTATCATACCCTTGCATCATGTTTTTATAATTTTCTTTTCTTTTTCTTCTATTTATCCATATTGCAGGTAGCTTTGCTGAAATTTACAGGTTATAAAATACTGAACAATGTTACAGATATTGGGAAGGCATTTCTAATCATACTTATCACAGATATTTTTTTGGGGTAATATTTTTTGCTCTGTACTAAAATACAATCGTTAGTGTATGTTTTCCACTGGTATTTTATTTTGTATGCTAGTTCAGAAGTTGGCTTTGAACAAATTCTGCAAGTGATACCAAATGTAGAATAGCTTGGTGTCAGTCACCGCAGTGAATGTGGAATCTGTAATTGGCTTTGAATGAATTCGTGCAAGTAATAACAATCTTTCAGTTGGTGAAGATGTTGAGATTCCGTATATAAACTCTTTGGCACCATATTGTTTCTTGCAGGGTTTTTCTTAAAAAAATGCTCATTATTCTTCTAAGAATTTCACTTTCACTCTTGTTTGCATAATGAACATTATCCTTTATGAAATTGAATACTGTAGGTATCACTCCGAATCTGGTTGGCAGACCTTGCTGGATGTAATTGTTGAGCACTATGGACTTGAAGTTGACCAATCTGCTATCACCATTTTCATCTGCCTCGTTCCTGTTGTCATTGATGCATGTGTGAAGCTTTGGGTATGTTATTTTGACTCAAATAAGTGTTTAGTCGAACAAAATCCAATAAAAACCTTTATTTAGAAAAGCCTGTCTGTGGTTAAACTGGAAGTGATTACCTTTATTGAAGGTAAAAGGTAATCAGTTCCTTTCCAAACATCATTAATTTCCACACAGGAATGTGAGCGAATGAAGTGATTATACTTTACTTGAAATGAAGAGGGTGGGGGTGGAGCTCCACCCCCACCCCAAGCTGCTACGCCCCTCCCTGTGCTTAGCTATGAATTTGGAAGACAAAAACGTGGGGAAAAGTGTCGTATATGGAAAGAAAAGCAAATTTCCATTGGATGATCCTGTGTTCATGGTGGTAAACTGGAGAGATAGCCGAAGTCAGCCATTTTAAGATTCAAACGAGATAGATTTTATGCACCTCTTTTAGCTATTTGACAACTTGGCCATTTATCTATTCTCATTGAACGGTAGGAAAGTTAGTCTTGCAGTGCCCATAGCTTGTTCACAACTTTATTCTGAGTAACATGATGATAATGTCCTTATGGACACACTCTT